GAGCTGTGTGAAATAAAGATTGGGCAAAAACATGTTTTAGCTTGTGGTACTTATTAACATTTTTTCCCTTGTCTCCACACTTCTGCTAGCTTCAGGTGGGTGCTGAAAAGCAAGAGATATGTGGAGGAGTATTTCTAGTGTACAAGACGTATACGGTAAGGAAGCATACCCTTCCCACTCATTGAACAGAACTAAAAAGTAAATTCAAACCCTTATCAAAACATTGAAACCACACTTTTACTTTGGAAAGTGGCACAGGTGTACTTTACTTCAAAAACAAAAATGTCTGTCTGCACTTCTTGAAATTCAGACTGTCTCAGTGTTAGCAGATTCTTTGGCTGAAAGCAATTGGCAAAGTGTGTCAGAAAACATCCCCTCTTTCTGGGAGTGTTGTGTGGGATCCTGGAAATACTCATTAAACTGCAGCAGGACAATTTAACCCAGGTTCCACCCAGAACACAACTATCTGTTAACAAGAACTTGTTTGGATTATGAGTGTTGAATTCTTGTCATTCAAGCTAGTAAACCCAGAGAACCAATTTATACACTACATAGCATGGTTGCGTTGAATAAAAACCTTGCAATATGTCATTTTAAGGTCTACATGATATACCTTATAACCAGACACAGGCCTCCCTTAATACATAATCCAAAAGTATTTTCTGTATTTATTTTCTTGTTTTATTAACACTATCACCTATTTTTACTCATACACATTCATTTTGTACATCTGCTCTTGATCTCTTTTTGCTTTGATCAGGTGAAACATGTAGGCGTTTATTTTTAGATTCATAATTTTCAGAAATTCTTGAAAGAAATTGAAGCATTGTTGTGGAGAATTCCACTGCAACATGTGCAGTAAAACCCAGCTACTGGGCTATGGAATGCTACAGGGTATCATTGGTGAACATGCTGGATGCTTAAGACAAGAGCAGTCATGTCTACTGCTGTAATAGAGCTGCTGTATTTGGTACTACAGCAGTTTTTTAAAGGGCTGTATTATTTATTGTCACATTCACTGGAACATTAGTCATTTTTAAAGTCACATAAATAATATGATAAGATAGAATTAGCTTGAAATGCTATTTGTGTTTGCTATGTCCAAAAGCTCTGGAGCACCACAAAAAAAAGATATATGTGCTTTAGCCATATTCATGCTTTTAAGTCTGGCGTACAAAATCATTTTCCAGATACAATAAATGTTTAAAATGCAGTTTATTGGGGTGGAAAATTATAAAACAATATATATTTCATAGAATACATTACAGAGAGGATTTGTAAGTTTTAATATGTGTGTGAAGGGGTGGTTAGGGCTCTGGACTTGTAACTGCAAGGTGATGGGTTCAAATTCCAGGTGAGGTAGTGCTTTCATACCCTCGAGGAATGTACTTGATCAGATCACTAAAGTGAAATGCCCAGCTGCAGCCCAGCTGCAGAAACGGGCACTAATGTGTGATACTTTGGACAAAAGAGCCAGTCAACTGAAATAAAGGTTGACATTTAACACCTCCTGGTTGTGTGGCCCTTATGGAAAGTGAGTTATTTCTCTTTCAAGACAGGCATCTCTTCAAGCCCCCTGTGTTTTCACTCTGTGAAGCTGGAATGCAAACAGCAGCACCTATTTTTGTCAGACACAAAATGGAGAAAGGGCCAAATCTCTTAATAATGTTCTAGCGTGCTAAGCCTACTGACCTCTTA